ATGCATATAAATATCTAATTTATATACAAAAATATATACTAAAGTTAAAATGCATATAAAATTTGTTTTTTTTGTTTGTTTTATTTCGTAAATAATAAATGTTTTTCAACTAATATTTTGACAATTATTTGTAAAAGTTTATGTAATTTTATCTATGATTTTAATTCAAAGTGATAATTTGATTTAAAAGATTTAAATAAATAATGATTTAATATACAATAAGTTATACCAAACAAACACATTATAATTAATATATCAATTGATTTATATAATAAAATTCAATTATTTTAATTTTTAATATTTTAAATTTTACATAAATTTCTAATAAAATTTTATTTAGTTTTACTTTTTTTTTGATTATATCATAAAATATTATTATTTAATTAATATTTTGTGTGTTTTATAAAGTTTAAATTTTTTTTATATATTTATTATTTTTTGTTAAAATAAATATATTAAATTAAATACTATTTAAGTTAACTATCAAAAAAAAAAAAATAATAATTTATACTTTAATTAATTATTGATTACATGTTTCAACTTATTTTTATTTTAATTAACATTATAACCACTAATCGATAACAAAAATCAATTAATTGTTTGTTATATATTTTATATTTATAAAACATATTAGTTTATATATAYAWAAAAAAAATAATTAATTAATTTGGCAGTTAATTGTTTATAAACTTGTGGTTTCATTATTATTTTTTTTAAATACTTTATATATACTGTATAAAAATATATATTTTATATTAACTATTAATAATAATAGTGTTAACATGTTTAATATATATATATACAGTATATATATATATATTTCACTTAAATATTATTTAACGATATTATATAACCTTAAAATACGCCCCAAAAATATATTCCCATTTATTTTTTGGTTGTATTTTAAGTGTTTTATTAGCTATAAATATATTATATATATAAAGTATTACATATTATTAGATTTTTATCAGATTTTTTTTTCGTTTTTTATAATAGTGATATGAAACTACAAAATACATAAAAAAAAACTAAATAATTAATTTATTTATTATTATATATGTTATACTTATAGTTAAGTTACATACCATTTAAAACTCTATAGTATTAATTAATTTTAATTTTATATATATATATATTATACTTGAAAAAATCAACTTATTTATAGTAGTTTAGTGATTATAGTGATTATTAATGACTTATCGCTTATATATATTTATATACAACAACACTATATACAGTATATATACAATATATATACTGTATATACAGTATATATTAGATAAAACACCAAAAAAAACTATATWTTTTTAGTTATAAAACCACTAAATACCTGAAAATAATGGGAACATAATTATAGCCATGCATTGAAGTAATAAAAAAAAGTTACACAAAAAAATTTTTTTTTTAGTCAATTTCATGACTCGATAATTGAAAAACTTTTTTTTTAAAACTATTATTTATTATTTACATGTTTTTCTTTACCTAAATATACAGGTATTATATATATAYATATTGTATAACAAATTTTTTCAACAACAACAAAATTATTATTTAGTAAACTAATAATAATAATAATAATAATACATAATACATAATATTAAGATAATTAATAATAAATGGCAATTATTTCGGGGGGGGGGGATATTAGATACCCCATATAATATAATAGATAACATTTAGTGATAACATATTTATTTATTTTTTTTTAAATTACTATACAAAATATTTACTAAATAAATATCTAATTAACTATAAGTTTATCTTATTTTTTTTTTAGAAATTGATTTAATTATAATAACACATGTTAAATAATAATTAGTTTTATTATTATTATTTTTTTAAAAAATATTAAGATTAATTATAATGCTATCTTAGTTAATAAATTATAAATTGTTTATAAATTGTAATAGGTTGATTTGCAATAACTGTTAACTATATAATAATTTGATTTTTTAATATAATAATAAATTATATTTAAATTTATTTAGTAGATAATCAAAATTTATTACACACACACATATATATATATATATATATATAATTTAATTGTAAATTTTATTATATATAATTTATAGACAATAAATAAAACAATATTTAATTAAATTATTAGTATTGTTTTAAATTATTAATTGGATTTTTTTAATTTTTATTAATCAAAATTTTTATTTATTTATTTTTAAAATTTTTTATTTTTTCCAAACTAATAGGCCATATGCCTGGTATGATACCTATGGACGCGGCCACTGCTGCCGCTGCCGCCGCCGCTGCTGTCGGAGTTCACGGCCAGTTTGGTTCGGCCGCCGCCGCTGCCGCACACTTTGGACCGATGGCCGGTATACCGGCATTTTTGACCCCGTTTTTTCGTAAACCCAAACGTATTAGGACGGCCTTCAGCCCGAATCAGCTGTTAAAGTTGGAGCACGCGTTTGAAAAAAATCATTACGTGGTGGGTGCCGAGCGCAAGGAGCTGGCCAGGTCACTGAGCCTATCGGAAACACAG